TAACATGTATATCACTATTATCGCAGTTAAAACACTATGAAATGGCTGTGTGTATTTTACTCAGTCACTGCAAACACTAGCGGACAAAATTTTGCACAAAGATAGGCAAAGACCTGCATTAGAACATGAGTTACCACGTTACCAGGCACTTCGAATTTCAGCCCTTCTGCCGTTCTTTTGATCATCCCAAAAGATACAGAACGTAAACTGTCTTAATATTATTGTACTTGCTTAGAGGACTAAAGACAGTCACTGGCTTGTTAGTATGTTTAGTTCAGCGGTCGGCAACCGGTGGTCCACGGACCACTGGTGGTTCTTGATAACTTTTTGCTGGTCCGCAGAAAAATTGGGACATTATTTATATTTTTATGAAGATTCAGTTTAACAAATATATGTAACTTTACACTGTAAACATAACTATCATAAAACCTATTATGGAATATGGATTACACTTTAAAAAAATAAATTTAACTTCTACTTTTAGCGAAATTCCTTCTGAATTCAGGGACTTTTTAGCTCCTTTTGCAGGTGTTTCTAGTGACATTTGAAAGTGAAATTTGGCATCTTTGGATACGTGCTGTTATCAATATTAGCGAGAAGTGGAATTCTCTTTCCTTTTGAATTGCAAACATATGCTACTGTAAATACAGTTTTTCTCCGTGTCAATAGGCAACTTGTGGACTTTTATGAGAACCATGTGCATTTTTGTTTCTAATTGATCATTGGACGTCTTCGTTTTTGTGTAGTCTATGTTGATCGACGGTGCCGTTGCCGAGTAAGCGATGATTATTAAGTTTACAATAATTAAAAATTTGCGGCATAACATTATCAGTTTATTGATATTGCTTTGCTTTTGCCGATTTGTTCTTGCTTTTTATGAAGTTCCTTTTCAGTGATATAGAAATGTGAAGCTTTCTGACAGAAGGAAGATTTTTTTATTTACTTTCCATGTAATTTTTTAATGTGAACGAAATATGTGTAGTTTGCTGATTATTACTGTATAAATGTATTTACCTTTTTTAATTCATATTAGTGGTTCGCCAAATGTAAAATTATATATGTATCATGCTTGAACGAGACATTCGTTGCCACGGGCGCCTGGGCTGGAGTGTCCTATCCCCATCGATGTTTTGAAGTGGTCCGTGAAGTTCTAAGGGTTGACGACCGCTGGTTGAGATGAAATGTGTTGCCGTGTCGCCATCTGTCGGGCTTAAAATTATAAGCCAATTAAACACCGAATCCGTCTTTAACGATGGACTCGAAATACAAACTTGTAAGTTTCATATAACAGAATCAGACGCCAATGAATTTTTAAAGTGATAATTATAAAAGAACCATCCAAAGAACTCTAAATCAAATTTTAAGAGCATTTAACTATTTAATAATGCAATTAAAATTTTACCTTAGGTTATAATAATTATAACATGTGCACTTTAAAACATAATTTTAAACCTTCAGATATAATTTTCTCATAAATGTATAAATAAAGTATCCGTTTACAATGAAAATTAAAAAATTTTTTTTTTTTTTTTTTTTTGGAAACAAAATGGATTTGTATTTTTATTTAAGCACTTAAGCTATTTTTTTAATTTAAGTGATCGTAAATTTATATTTTGTATGAAACATTAATGTTTAATTTAATTAATTTTTATATGTTTTATTTACTTAGTTAAGTTTAAAGTGAATTGTATTTGTCTGTTTACCTTACATACTAAATATATTATATATTCATCTTATTGTCTTACGTATACTATTGTACAGGGTTATCCAAATTAAACTTCCCCAACTCAGAGGCCTGTGCAGAGTGTTGTATGGGTCATAATGTGATGAAATTTTAAAAACAGACACTTCAGATCATGCGCTCGAGATTTATTACACACAAAAAAAAATAGTGCAAGAAGTTGCCGATAGGTGGCGCTGTAACACTAGTAATGTGCATATTGCAGCAACGTGATTTGCAGAAATAAAGCTTCTGCGCAACGTATCCAAAAGACGAGCCCTACAAAAGTGGAAGACAGGCCTTGCACAGGCAGTTGTTTCCAGCTCGCTGATGCACAATGGCGACTTTGAAAGACAAAGCTCTGTTAGTGGAACTTTTCTACCAGAATGACGAGAACTCCTGTGCTGCGATAAGAGCATTCCGTCGGCTGAAGATCTTACGCCGAGGGCCAATGACACCACGCGCTCTACGAGACATGATGAAGAAGTTCGAAAGAACGAGACAGATGGGAATTTTACCAGGTAGAGGACGACAGGTTGTGGAATTTGCACGCGTAGAAGACGTTGCTTTGGCGGTCGTGGACCCCACTAGCCAATCGTCACGTGGTGTTGTCAGTGTGCCAACTGTTTCTCGTGCTGTTGATATGCCCTATATGACCGTCTGGCGTCTGATGCGTCGAATCCCCGGTTATTTTCCTTACAAAATCCAGAGTCGTCATCAGCTGTCCGACGGGGATCCTGTAGTTCGGGAAACATTTGCGTTGCAGTTCCTTGCCAGAATGGAAGTCGATGCTGCTTGGCCGTGAAACATCCTTTGGACGGATGAGGCCCATTTTCACCTGAATGGTCAAGTGAATACGCACAACTGCCGCATTTGGGCAAGTGAAAACCCGCGCACAATCCATCAAGTGCCCTTGAACCCTCCAAAGGTTACTGTATGGTGCGGTTTCATGCAACATTCGTCATTGGACCTTATTTTTTTTGAAGAAGTGACTCCAACAGGGTTCAAAACTTGCTCTGTCACAGGGAAACGGTATCAGGACATGTTGACAACGTTTGTGATCCATGAACTGCAACAACGTGGCCGCCTCCAGGACACGATATTTATGCAGGATGGTGCACCTTCCCATATTGGCAACAAATCCACTAGTCGGCTGTTTGAAGTGTAAACAATCAATAGCCGCCATAAAAAAAGATTTAGTGGCACTTAAACAACTTTAAAATTAATTCAGAAGTCAAACAACAAAAATCAGCGTTAATTTACAAAATTTTCACAGGACTAGTTTCGATGGTTTTACCGAACCATCATCTTCAGCTGCAAAACCGCAAATGAACAAGATAGGAAATAATGTTTAGATAAGATAAGAAAGCCTGGACAAGAATAAGCAAGTGGCGCCATCTGTTGGCGAAACCAGAACTAAAACATAATTTCTCTAAAAGCCGAAGGCAGATTTGGATTGGAATTAGGATCGTTAACTAGAACAGAAAGATTTTTATGGATGTGAAATGCCTCTAGAAAATCCAGTTCTCCAATGGAAGATGTTTTTTGAATAATTTTGGCAGCAGAAAAATTGAAAGTGTGATTTTCGGACCAACAATGTTGAGCAACAGAAGACTTCTGTGTTTCCTTTTTTCTAACATATGCCTCATGTTCTTTGACGCGAAATTTTAAGGCTCTCTTAGTTTGACCAATGTAAATTAAACCACACTGGCAAGGAATCCTATAAATACCCCAGGAATTCATATCCGGAATGGGGTCCTTGAGTATAGAAGTTGGAATTTTATTGATGGGAGAATAAACAACCCGAAAGTTAAATTTCTGCAAAATATGTGCAACTTTATAGCTAATTGATGGAAAGAAGGGAATGACAACAGAATTTTTATAATCTCCTAAATAAGAGTGTGGCTTTTAGTGTGTTGAGATGACAATTTTTTAACTGCTTGATTAATAATGTTGGGTGAAAAGCCCCTGTCAATAGCTATTGCTTTTAAATAATTTAGTTCTTCATCAAGGGCTAGTTTGGAGGAGCAAACTTGAAGAGCACGGAAAACATAGGAATAAAATGAAGCTAACTTTTGTTTAGTCGGATGACATGATTTAAAGTGTGGTGGAAGGCAAACCGATGAAGGTTTACGGTAAAACTGTAGTACTGAAGTTGGATGTGTTACGTGTGACCAGAATGTCGAGAAACGGAAGAGAATTGCAAGTCTCAGGTTCAAAAGTGAACTGAATAGCAGGATCAATAGAATTCATTGTTGAAAGAACTTTATTTAAATCATCTTTATTACCTTCAAACAGGGTAAAAGTATCGTCTACGTAGCGGAACCATGCCGGGAAGTTTAAAGTTTCAAACAATTTTGATTCATAATAATGCATGTAGATATCAGCCAGGATGGGACTGAGGGGGCTTCCCATGGCTAATCCCTCAGTTTGCTTGTAATATTTATTTTGGAAAACAAAATGTGTTTGTTTCAAACAGAGTTGAGTGAGAGAAATTAGCTCATCAATTTCGATGCAAGAGAAATGAAATTCGCGAAGTCTGGTTTCTAGACATCTTAATGCACCCTCCACTGGGACATTGGTGAATAATGATTTTACATCAAAAGAAACCATGAGTAAATTACTAGGAGAAATGTTTTTAACCTTTTTTACAAACTCTATTGAATTTTTTATGGTGTAAATGTTATTGTCTAATAGAGTGGAAAATCTAGAAACTAAATATTTAGCTAATGGATATGAGGCAGTACTCAGTTTTAACATGGAAACAAAGTATACTTTACATAAACATACTAGACACCAAGATAAACATAGTACAATAAAAGTCCACAAATTAAGCACTCCTTTCACTGACGTTTCTCCTATACAATAGCACTACCAGCATTTTATATGGAAAGACTCAGTAGTTTCATATTTTTTTACCATTTTTATTATTCCTACCCATCTGTTATAATTTGCATTTATACATACTTTGCTTCCTTTATAGTTATTTAAAGAATTGTGACTTTCCATTTTATTCTTCAGAATTGTTTCAATTTGGTTTTCTTTTTTGAGGTATTAGGAAAGATCCAACAGGCAAATAACTATTAATTCTATAATGCAGACTAATGCATAACATTTTATTCCTCCAAAATTTAATATAATTTGATCACTTTCAATTTTTTAATTATTTTTCTCATTCCTTTATTATAATATCTCTGTATTATTCTTAAATTTTAATTGAACCCTATAACAAGATACATCTAAAAATACTAAATATGGTTATAAACATGTAAACCACAGATCAGCTTTTTAAGTAATTTTATTAATAACTCATTGTTTCAAAATACAATCAAAATGTACAATAATTACATTCATCAGAAGTACAATTAAATTCAAATATATAAGACAACACACTCCCTTTTAGACATTTTCATACAAATAACAGGAACATAATAAATATACAAACAGAAAATATACAAAAGCAGATATACATGCTGTCAACAAGTACTAATCTGATTAAAAATGCAGCATGTAAATTTGCAGGAATGAAGACAATAAAATGTTATTGAACTAATGAAAATTGGCACATAAAGCAATAAATAGGTAGTTACTACAATAAATGAATTATACATATGGAAGAAACAAAACTTTCAATATTTTTCTAAATTTAATATATTATATCTTGGACTCTCCTATAAATTGGTTTTAAAGAACTAGCAATTCTGTTTAGAGTACAGAAACAAAATATGCTAAGAACTTATGTATTGATAAAATCTGCATTAGCAGTTGTAAATTATTAAAAGAGTTTGTAGAAATTAACTCTCTAATTGGTATGCTAACAAAATTGCTTCTATAACAGCCTCCAAGAGAAATGTACACTAATGCATGAAAGCACATTCTGCAATATAAAATCAAAACTCAATCATTTAATGAATCCAAATCATGAAAATCAAATTCCATTTTACAGATGTCACACAAATTTGACAGTTTTTTAATAATTAAAAAAGTAGTTTTGTTAGTAACCAGAAAACTGGGCAAAGGTATAAAATTTACTAAATTAAATTAAAGCCAGTTTAGTAAAGGAAACCGATGGATATTTAAGAATAAAATTGTTACTTTTATTAACTACGAAATCAAAACAATAAAATACTAATTTGTTTCTCAAATTTCAGGTATAAACCTTCCACCAGAATAACTGCTGAAACAGTTTTTGTTTAAAATGCATGTTGTCTTGAGCAAAATTTAAAACATTTTAGAAACCAAAACAAATGAAAGAATTAAGACATAATAAGTAATTTATTTCTAAATTACCATTTTTAGCATCCTAATTATAAACACTCAAGAGAAGAAAATCTTTAATTTCCTTTTGAATCTTGCTGATCACCATAAAAATATAACAATTTGTTTTATAAAAAAACACTTTTTAGAAAAGAAATTATACAATGGTGTAAGAAATATCAATTTTGAGAACATTATTGAGAAAAGTTCTATAATACCTCTGAAAAAGAATTTCTGAAGTTTGTCAACTGAGAAAAATATAATAATGGAGACAGACTTTTGCCATCTTTACATAAATAAATACTTCAAATAAATAATTTAATCATGCTAATTGAATTAGAAGTCACTAACTTTACATATTTTATATGCCTATACATAAAAACAATCTTAATTCCCAAATTAGCATTATGCTGAAGTTTACAATTTATAATATGCTTTACAAACTTGTATTTATTTAAAAACCAAACTGCAGTTTTCTTATCAAAATTTATTATTTATTGCAGTATATTTATGACAGTTTGAGAATATATAGTAGTTAAAATAATAATATTAAAAACAAATGTTTATACAATGCTTCTTTTTAAAAATATAAGCATATAAAAAATTGCAACATTATTTGTTAAAAGGTCTCAAGCACATTTCTAGTTTCTCATAAAAATAATTAGAATAAAAGCATTAATAAACATCACTCCAGTCTATGAAAATTTCATAACAAATGTAAATTGGTAACTTTCCCCCTTCCCATTGCAACATTAAATTTTAACTTAAAACAAAATATTGTTAATAATGGCTGATGGAAATTTTAAAACATGCCCAAAATGTATATCTCAGGTGAATATAGATACTAAAAATTAAAAAAATGGAGGGAAACGATGTACTACACACAAACATAAAAAAAGCATATGGATGACTTCATTAAAAATTTTGCACTTTCCCATATGATGCAACATAATGAGACTAGAAAACTTGGAAAAGAAAATGCACACTTCTTTTTATGAAGCTATTAGATTCATTATTTATTTGACTAATTTTCTATGTTCATGCTATTCATCTTCTTATTGCTTAATGGTGGAGTTAACTGTCTAATTGCCAAGCTAGGACTTTCTTGGGCAGCTTCAATTTGTTTTTCATGCACTCGTTCCTAAGTGAACACAGAAATTACAACTTAAAATATATCAACAGTTTAAAGGTACAATATTTAAAAAAAATATGCACTAAAAAATATACACAGTTCATGAAACTGTTCCTGCATAACATACAAGGTGCAGCACAAATGTTACACACTGAAAATAAATATAATAAATACTTATAAAAATTTCATATTCAAAATATTAGAAAAGAGTTAGTATTTAAAATACTCGTCGTAATGTGCATGATTAACCAGTATGTGAGAAGTGTTCTGTTTGTTCACTTTGCATATAACTCTTCCAAGACAAACTCTACATTTTTGTAATGATTTTTAAGAAATAAATCATCGGATTGTTAATAATGAGATTCTCCAAAAGAAAGTCACGATCAGCCAATTCGTGATGGCTATTTGCAATCATACTGCATTTCTGATCTGCACATAAACCTAAAGGGCCACTCAGACTGGCGTTTATTTGAGACAGAGTCACTTCCATGTGTCGACTAGCTCCATTACACCTGAAGTTCAGGTTTTTCAAAACTGTGAAGCTATGTTGGCAATGTTAAGTCAGATAAACCTAAAATGTATGCTTTATATAAACAGTTTGCACATGTATACTTCACTTCAATACTAATCTCCACCTGCTTCATCAATAAATTCAGATAACTTATAGCACAAATATTTTCTGATTTATTTCCTATCTGTGTAAAACCTGCCTGAACAAGTATTTATTATTTTCACTTTAAATAACAAATCTGCAGGAAAAGGAAACAGTTTTATGAATGAGAGTAATGAATTAAACCAATAAGTAAAGAATTCTTACCAGAAGTGTTAAGCCAGCACTATGTGTTTGAATATTATACCAGTCATCAGAAGATACATCACTAAATATTCTCAGATCAACACCACCAGTTTCTTGGGCAACTTCAACAAATGGTTTCAACCAAGTGACACAAGGTAATAATTCCTCCCAAGAGAGTCCTATGAGAAAATATTTCCTTCAGATAATGATGTTTAAACAAAAATTTCTCTTTTATCAGGTGATACAATTTCATAATTAAAACTCATTCTTAATTTATTTTACTACATAAATTAACTTACATCCTTAAAGATTCAGTGCGAAGAAAGAAATCATTTAGAATTAAAAATATAATTCTATAAGAGAATTTTCTGGTTTAAAATCCTTTCAAAATACCACAAGATAACATACTCTAAAAGAATTGCAATTATGCCAGTAAACTTATGATATATTTACAGCATATAATTTAAAATGAACGTTTACGATTCTTTTGATAATTCTCTGAGCAAGAGTAGAATATTTTGAGAATGACCTTAAGTTAAGTACTTGAGAGAAATAATTTTGTGCAGTTTAAAACAAACAGAAATTAGTTTAGTATAAAAATTAAAACAGGTAGAGATGAAAAATGCAGTTTATTTTTGAGCAAGTCAACATCATTGTTCTTACGATAAGAGCAACAGAAGTTATAGTGTTTCATACGGAAGTTCAAATGTTAGGTTAAAAGTAGAAAAGTGTGAGCTTAGAACAGGTTTTTCCAAGTAGTGCCTCACTTTAGCACATGTTACGCTTCGCTGGCATCCGCTACACAGTATTGGTGATTTATCACGAGACAAAATGTTGTTCTGCTAGATTTTGTCACACAGAAGAAGTTAACTCTGAATTATTAGTTTAGCTATGTTTCATTTAACCTGACTTCTAAAAAAGGTATTTTTTTATGCTTGGAATGTTCGAAGCATTATTTATTTCAACAAAAGCTACAGGCACATATACATAAATAATAAAATAAACATGGATCAGCTCTTTGAAGAAGTAATAATTTCAAAAGATTTTTGGTCAGCTAATTATGAATTACAGAAAAATAAAAGTTGCCAAAAAAAGGGGGATACATCCTTTCAGTCACTTCAAAGAAAAATACATTTTAATTGCCCCAGTCCTGTTCAAATGACAAAATACATTTTCAGCATGCCAGGCACACCGGCATCAGTTGAAAGAGTATTGCCACTAAGGAGCATCATATGGTTTGAACAAAGAGGTAGAATGGCTAAATCAATTACAAAAATTTTACTAAGCTGCAAAATTAAAAGTGAACTAAATTACAGTGGATTTTTTTATGCTATTAAAAATAACAAAGAAGTTTTATAAGAAAATTCACACTAGTGATAAATATGAATCACACTAATGATAAAACTGCTCTATTTAGCTTTTTCAATCCTAGCAGGTTTTATACTCTATTATGAGTATTTTCTCAAAATTGCCCCAATTTGAACAAAAGATATGTCAAGCCTACTCAGAGTTCTTAGAGATCAGCGAAGAATTAATGGTACAAAGAGTATGCCTTATGGGTTACTAGTAGGTAAGATAATGTATTCAAGAATAAGGAAAAAAAAAAAATCTGGACCAAAAAAGGAACAAAGTCTGATTCTGTAAAATGCCAAGGAACAGAGCAACTTTTATGATAATAGTAAATGTGAGACAAAATATACATATAAAAAATAAGAAAATAAATGTAAAATAAGGTAAAGTTAATTGATTATGGCAAAGCACTCAAGAGTTATTTCTCTATGTTTAAGAGGATCTATGTATGAAGAATATGAAGGAGGTTTTGACGATGATATATACCTTTGCGGAAAGTAAGAATTCAAATAAATTTAAAACCAACCTTTTATGATGACAGTAAACATGGCATAAAATATCAAACATAAATACATTACGACATAAATGTACAATAACATTACGTTAATTGACTAGTGTAGGTTACAGAAACCTACAGCACTAATTTAAAGCAATTCTAAAACATAAATATGAGTAAAAAAAGAACAATCTATTTTTGCATATACTTTTCAAGTCCTGAGTAAATGAATTCTTGCATATCTGGGCTTAATTGAAAAACAAATCAGTAATTCTTAATCCAAACAGTACTAAATATTTATCTTTCGGTCTATAAATACTGTTTATTTATTTACTTTTTGAATATAAAAACAAAATTCTGTTAAATTTCTTGTTGTCAACACAGCACACACATTCCTCAGCAGTTGATACTGGCTGAAGTTTGTAATCATTGCCAAGTGATAAAAGCTACTTTGCTTGGTAAAGAAAAAAAAAAAAAAAAAATTCTACCAAGCATGCATGCATGCATGTATGAAACATAAACTGTGCTAAAGGTGAGATGCTACTGTTTTTCCATGTTTTTGATAGAAATGGAATGGAATTAACAAGATGGTTGTGCAAAAAGATTTCTGAAGCTTCTATGAAATACAAATCGAAAAGTGAATAAGTGCGAGCAACGATTTTGGCTACAGAAAACAAAACTGTTCAATTCATTTTTGCAGAATATAATTTTTTTTTTAAACTAAAAAGTCGTTTCAGATTAATGACCTTTACATTTCTTATGCTATCTTTTTATAATGGGATAAGTAAATTTACAACATTTCAAATTTATATATATATATATATATCAGTCAATCAATTAAATTAATAATGGAAATTGAAAAGCTATATATAGATATGAAAGAATAAAATGAACTAGCCGATATACAAGATACATCTCACTCGAACTACTTTCTCAAAAATCATACATGCAACTTATCACACCCATGTTAGGTTGCAGGTGTGTGTGTATATATATATATATATATATGGCTTCCTTCGGAATAATATCCGACTTTTTCTATCTTCACAGTTTTTACCATTCTTTCCCACATCTTTCATAATAAACTTAAGCATCCTTCAAGCATCAGTTCCAACGAACATCATTTTTGGTTAAAAGATTCACAGTTGCAGCCAAGGAGTTTATGCAAATTAGGATTAAAACTAAATAATAGTTTAAATTGTGTAATATTCTTACTCTTGTTTTGTATGCATTGCCAGTTTTTATAATAATCATTTTGTAAATACATCTTTTTTGATCAAGTTGTAGAATTACCTTCATATTTAAAATATTACTTTAAATCTAAATTATATATTAGTTTTCATGATCAAAACAAAACTTTACTTTCAAACATACGAAGCAGATGAAATGCAGTTATATCCAAATTATTGCAGAGATTAATTTCCCCAAAACTGGACAGTCAGTCAATCTTCTTCCGACAAATCAACAATAATCTACCTACTTTTTTATGTAATGTACTGTTCTACTATATTTTTCATGAATGCACTATCTTTTTTCCTTTTTTATTTCATTTTAAAATGTACTTTTTTTTTGATGGATACCAATACAAATTTTAAACTTCTAAGTTTATTAAAAGTTTCTAATAGTTTTATCACAGTCATCTTAAATATTCAACATTTCCAATAGCTTGACAGTTCTTTAGGAGATACTCAGAAAATTAATAATTCTATATATATAATAAAACTTTCCATATACCATCTACAAGGAACATTATACCACCATTTATTTGAATATATTTATAAATTAATATATATAGAGTATATATATGATGAAATAAAATAAATTTCATCATATATATACGATGAAATTTTCTTCTAGGAAATGTGAAGGAAAATTTAAATAGTCAATGTGGAACCAAAAATAGAAATTTTAATTAATTACATTGGAATTGGTAATTTAAAAATGCAAAATGAATAAAAAGTAAACGTAAACAATCAAAATTGCTGCTGATTCCATGGAAGGACCCCGATCTTTCAAGGGGAATTGGAATCCCTCTATACAATCATCAACAATTCATAATGATTGTGTTTTGTCTTTTCACATTCCTGAACATGGCAAAATTGAAGCACATCCAAAACTGAAACCCCCTTAAAAAAAAAAAAAAAAAAAAAAAAAAAAAAAAAAAAAAAAAAAAAGAGAGAGAGAGAGAGAGAGAAAAAGAGGGGGACATACCAGATACATGCATAGCAGTTTCTTTAGATAAAAAGTGAGCTACAGCTGATGCAGCAAGAACACTGTATGGGTACCTAAGGCACTCGATATCTAAAATGCATAAATCTAGAACCTAGGAAAAAATAAAATATACACCATTAAACAATAACTTTAATAATTACATTTTTTTGCTAAAAGAATAACACAGCACACTATAAAACATTTTATATGTTCCTAACTGGATGAACCATTAAAACCAATCGATTTTATGTATAAATTTAAAACGCAGAATAAAAATTTTGAGAGGATAATGATTTTCAACGTAAAGTCTAATCATTTAATAGATTCTGGAATTTATTTTTATCTACAACCACTATGATGAAAATTTTATTTCTCTACCAACCCTGGATGGGGTTATTTGGCTGAATGTTAATGATAATATAAATGAATACACTACTTAAAGAAAAATCTCACCCTGCTTCCACCCCAAACCATTATCTTTAAAAATTGTGCACAGAAAGGTTTAAATTCACTTTTAAAAATTTTTACAATTTTTGAAATACATGATTAATTTCCATACTAGTGGAAAAGACAGTAGCCTTAGTTTTTGTAAATAATAATGCAAAAATATAAAATTCATGGTTTTATTTGTAGGCAAATTCTGCACATTTCATAATAAGGTAACTAAAGGGTTGTAGAAACCAAAATTTATACACACATAATTTCATACAATAGGTTATCATAGAATTCACAATAAAATATCAATGCTTAATTTAATTAACACCATCATAGTGCATAGTAATGTAACTATTGGCCACCTAAAAAAAAAAAAAAAAAAAAAAAAAAAAAAAAAACAAAAAAAAAAAAAAAAAAAAAAAAAAAAAAAAAAAAAAAAAACTAAATTGATTCAGATGCAAGACTGAAATCAAAGTTTACAATCTTTGTGCAAGAATGGACTTTTAAACACTTATGGACGACAAATTCCAAATTTTGATGAGTTTAAAAAATTTTTTGCTTGTTTTGAACATATAACTTTATAACAATCATTTAACTGATATCTTGACTGTTTTGCATGTATCTATAATTAAATCTACATGTAAAGTATTTTATCAAATAGTTTAGATAAACTTACTTGACTTATTTGAATAAACATATTGCGAGGAAATTTCTTTGGACCAATTAAATTTTCACTGTCTTCAATATATGCAAGCTGCAGGAATGCATTCAACCATGTGTTGATAGTAACTGTGGAAAGATCCCATTTCAAAGCCTAAAAAAGTATTATTTAGAAAAAATGTCTAATTAAAAAAAAATTTTTTTTGCACAATTTCTGAATTAAAGGACATAATTAAGAAATACAATCAAATTTAATCATGATTTAGTTGTTAAATTTAGAAACATCTATGTAATTTAGGTTATTAATTTTCAATTAAAACACACAATCAAATTAATAAACTCAACAGCCATAACTACTTAACTATTGAAGAGCTCATAAACCTTGCAAGAAAAGTATCCATATATGTTTTAATAAATTTGTGCAAGGATAAACACTATGGTATAACACAAATTGATAGGTAAGAAAAATTTCAAGTTTAAATCTTCCACATTAAAAAATTAAGTTACTTCAGTTAAGTTTTTTCCCTCTCCCTCACTCTTTCTTGCAGGTTAAGTTTTTCTACACAAAAAATGTACCGTTTTATGTTTTATAATAGGCATATGCATGTGATATGTTTTATATCACATATATAGATTTGCCAACCTTGAAATAGGAAAAAACGGGAGGAATCCTGGTATTATATATTTAATATATATTACACATATATAAAAGTTGAAAAAAATTATGTAAATAGGACTCGAAACAATATCCTGTGCAATTGCTGCCAAGACCGACTTAAAATAGTTATTTATATAAGTTAAATTATAACTAAACAGACAAAAAATTAAATTAAAAGCTGAAATATTATTAAATTATTAAAAAATAATTAAGTAAATTTAATGCATTCTATGAAATTAACTTGCAAATTGGAAAAGCAATTAAGTAAATATATAAAAAATACAATTTGGAAAATGCTGTTTCATCACTGTCAGATTCAAATGTTTTCAACAGGTCAAAGAATCCGCACAGTGATACTACTGCTTTTTCTGGCAATATCTGTCATGTTTCTGTTTACTTCCAATTAGCTGAGGCACCTAAACTATTTAAATTATTTGTATCTCTGAATACACTGCACAGCAACACTATTTTAAGAGAATTTTGAACTGACTTAAAATAATTTTGTGATAAATGAATTGGGTTATTCAACTACTTACAATATGTTTCTGATGTAAAACACATTAATATTTATTAGATATTTTAAATTTTATGTCCTTTGGCTAATTTCATTTTGTAATTTTCTTATACTTTTATACTGAGAAAATCCTGAGTAGGGAAGGAAAGCTTTAATTTACTAAAGTACGTTTAAACATGACTAAAATAAAATTAAATAATTGATGTATATACTGTAGTGTGTAAAAACTTAACAATACACCATATATTGGTGTAAAACAAAATTCAATACAAATATCTTGCACATAGGTTGAATCTTCATATAAAGATCTACAAATATCTACAGTAGATTAATAAGAAAAATTAAGCTGAAAATCACTAGAGATAGGAACATGAAATTTGCACAATTTAAGATTAATTAACTTAATAAAATTTCTTGCTAAAAATATTTTCCTTAGTAAAGCTAAAAATTAAAAACTGGCAGAGTTAGCAGTTACAACACATATAAAGTATTAAATAAACATACAAGGAAAAGAGGTGTTTGAAAAGGCAGACAGTCTTTTTATCCCTTAAATTATCATTATGCACTCTTAGTTATAAAATTACTCAAAATAAGCTGGAGAATTATTATGAAAACATTTTCAACATTGAGGACCAAAATGTTCTGTAAATACAAAATTTAACTTTTAGTATGGTAGCTGCTGCGCAAAAAATTTGGCAAATAATTTATTGCTTGTTAATAAATTAAATGAATAAAGATTCATAATTTTTCATGCAAAATTCAATGACATCATGATTGATATTTTTTTGAAGACAGCTACAAAGTTAATAACTAACATTGTTGATCATAAAAATGTTTTGCATTAGTTATCTAAGGTTTAAGGAAAACATCAGTGACTACCTAATTTCAGTCAAAATATGTATGTACATAGAAATAATTTTTACATATAAAAGAATACATGAAGCTAGTATATTTTTATTTTACAATGCATGAGGATCTCTCATTAAATTTCTAAATGGAATCCCCGATTATGTATAAAATTACAACAAATAATATAAGGACATATAACCTACCATGATTAAGACCACTTCTTGTGCAAGGATATCACTGTCTGAACAAGCATTATCTGTGACAAATGAATATTGATCAAGTCTTGGAGGATAAATTTCCTACAAAGGTTAAATTCAATTATTTTAGTGACACACAGAAATATCATAAGAATACAGACATAATATAATAATTCGAGAATGTAATACAAATAGTACAAACCTCCATTTTTGCTGCAACAAAGAGAGCAGTTACTCCTAATAATTGCAGACAACTTTTAGGTACGTTTGATTTCAACATTAGGAAACGATCTATATAATCTTGAGCCAGGTAGTATGTTTCTCGGTGTAACTTGTAAACTTGACATACCTAATAAATAAGCAGCGTTAGAATTATCACAGTCACAGTAATTTTTATTGTCTGATAATTTAAAATATCATTATGTCCAAAATGAAATGGTTAGTGCATAAATGAGAAGTTACACAATTATTTTAAAGCCTTTGTACTGTGTCTCAGTAAATTTGCAAGTTTGAGAACATGATTGTAACAAGGTTGATGAATAAATAGATGCTTCCGTGAAAGAAGCCATCACTGCCAAAAGTGATAAACTTGATTGCTAAATTTGTAATGTTCAACGTATTAAGCCACCAAAATAATTGATGTATATTAAAAATAATTTAATAGGTATTATAAGCAAAATATTTTTTTAAATATTACTGAAGAATGTGAAATATTTTATTTTTTCCTGATAGCTCTTGAGATATGATGCAGTAATTAAATACACACGTATGTTAAGAGAACTTAATATACAAATTAATTAACTCTGTAAATAATGGCAAATAAAAGTTTTGATAAAAACATTCAGAGTAAATATGAAATGATACATAGTAAGAACTAGTGTCAGAACCGGTGAGGTAGAATTTTTGGAATTTAGTGACACACCGAGCAACAAAATCTAGAAATGGTAAAACGTTTAGAATTTAGGAAAGGCACTGGAAGCAGAATTAAGGAGAGCACTAAGCACAATTTAGGACGTCACTAGGTGGAAGAATTTAGGATCCACAGAGAGTGCATCAGGTGGGAAATGCCTAGTACCAGCCCTATGCTATGATTCATTGAGACAATCTTTTAAATTGTCAGTTTTCAATTTCTTTATTAATAGAAAAAAAACTTCTTTTTTACAAATGCCTGCCCATGCGAAAAGATTAGAAACATTTCTGATATTTTTCATACTTGTGTCTAGTGAAAAGTTGAGAAAATAAAGGCAAGGTAAACATGTTAAGAAAAAGAACTTAGTATCAGAAGTACAACATTCAAACATTATGTTTTCATTGTCCTTCCAAAAATTCTCCAAAATGTATGAAATTCATCACAAACGTTCTGTAAAATAAATCCATTATGTGCTAATATAATGAAGACATTTTTCATTTTGTCACATTTTTCTGGATCCTTCTAAGAATTGTGGGTCCATAAATCTTGCCTTCAAATTATTCTAAACTTTCTAAGTTGCAATGTTTAAAATCCTAAAGAAAAATTAGCCCTACCAAATTTTAGAACAGGCAAAAAAAAAAAAAAAAAAAAAAAAAAAAAAAAAAAAAAAAAAAAAAAAAAAAAAAAAAACTAGAAATATTTTGGGGAAAAAAAAATCAGTTGGGAAAAAGTGTAAAATTAATTTTATAGAGAAAACTGATGCATTTTCTGACAATTCTGAAAACAATTACAGGAGAAAATTCTTACTATGGAAAAAAAAAAAAAAAAAAAAAAAAAAAAAAAAAAAAAAGAAATTTTCAATTAATTACATAGCTATTTTGCTTTTGCTATGAATTGTTTTTTAAACCATGCCTTATGGCATTTATTATATTGTTTATTTTTCAGATTCAAAATCCTTTATAATAAGGTACTAAAATGGAAAGTAATGTCACTTTATAATACGATAGCAAAAAAATAAAAATGTTTTATTTTAATGTTGTTCCTTAAATATAATTTCAATATATATCATTATTTTAGTTATTTTTCAGTGTTATAATGTTTAAAAAAAAATCTTCGAAAAATTCCTAGATCTCCGAATTAAAAATTTTCTACAGAATCTGACCTTAAAATTTCCAAAATGAAGTAGCCAAATTTAGAGCCGTTTAATAAAAGAATTTGCATCCCTAAAACCGGAAAGTTGTTTAAGAACTCTTCATTAGAGAAAATGAAATAATTTTGAAATGCTTATGTTTGAATCCTTGCTCAGAAACTCCAGTAACCCACCCTTTGTATTAGAAATAGGAACAAATTATAAATCCCTTCAAAAGATAATATTTGTCAGTGAATCGTCAAAAATATTGCTCCAAAATGATAATTCACATTCAAAATAGCAGTCATAAAAACAAGACAGAAATTTCACATGATTAAAATTAAGGACCTTCAGCATATTTTGGCCGAAATTAAGGACTTTTAAGGACCAAAAATCGATTAAAAATATCTTAAGGACCGTACGAACCCTGTATTTTGAATCTAAGGTTTTCAGTTTATAATGATATCTTAATAAGTTAAGAAAACCTTAAATACAGATTTTTGACCCCATTTGAAAAAAGCACCATTTTCACATTTTCATTGGAAAGCAAATTACTAACTGTAGGAACTATAAGATATGTTTTAACTTTTGGCAGAATTTGACTTCCCCTTTCTCCCATAAATATCAATAAAAAAAAAAAGGATCAATGTATCCCAAGTGTAGCTATGTCATTCAATTAATAAGTTATTCAGTACAATAATAAACATTTTAAGTTTGATTAATATAAAAATGCTGACTTTGTAGTATGCACTAATAGAAGAAAACAATATTAATGTGTACAGTAGAGTTGTGTTTTTTTGGCATTTCTACTCTTCATTAAAAAAAAAAAATACATCCAACAATAGTCAATCCACACTATTGTTGGATGTATATTGTTACGAATTTAGTATTTAAAAAGCTAATGTTAGTTCAATTATAAATTAAATGGTTTTATTTCTCGCACAGTGCAGCGCGTGACGAATATTAAAAGAAAGCTAAGCCGGAAAATTGAAATACAAGAGCGCGGTGCATTAAAATAAATAAATATCTCTTTTTGATTTCGAGAAAGTACTGGAAAATTCTAGCGCGTGATTTTAAAAATCTTATAAAAAAAAAAGGAGGAAAAACATCTCAGTTTGCAGGAGTTGCTTAGTTTTTGTTGTTCCTTAGAAAACTGCTCTTGTTGATTGTAAGCGAATTCGCGGATTAGCGTTCTTTAGCTGTTTTGAATTACATTCTATTGGATATTTGAGTAGTTAAAAAAAGATAACTACTGTGAGATATTGTAATTCTGCATGATAATTTGAGAAAATTTAAGCATTTTTGTTGTGATAATAATAAATTTTTGTTCATTTTTCATCGGACTTGTGCATTCATTTCATAACGAACCCGTACGCACGCAACAATTTTTGGGTGTCAGAAGTGGGATTTGAATGCCAATAACAAGAGCGATGGAAGAACAATTCAGGCAAATGATGACTGCATTTGCTGCTTTCCAAGAAAAGATGGAAGGAGCCGTCAAAACTCCGTTAAGGAAGATATAAAAGCTGTACAAGAAAGATGGAAGCTGGCCAAACATCTTTTAAAGAAAGAAATTAAGAGAAATGAATTGGGCCAGGAATCCGTTAAGGAAAATGAAATTGGGCCAGGAAATCCGTTAAGGAAGAAATGAAAATTGGGCAGGAATCCGTTAAGGAAAACAAAATGAAAAGCCGTTCAAGCTGGTCAAAGAAGAAATGAAAAGAGAAATTACTTGCATAATAGAAAATAAATTTGAAGCTATGGAAGGCAGAATTGACGCAGTTGAAAATAAAGTTGAACATATTGAAGAAAAAAGTTTCTTCCGTAAACGGATCATTTTCAGAAGAAAGAGTTTCTTCGGTGTGAAAGAAGAAATAGAAGAAAGAAAGTTTCTTCTGTAAAAGAACATATAGAAGGGAGAGTTTCTGCTGTGGAGGAACGAATTGAAGGAAGAGTTTTGTGCCGTCCAACACCAAATCGAACAACAAATTGATGAGAGAGTTTTTCTGCAGTTGCCAAAGAAAATGGATACTTTAAAGAAATTCATATACCGTCGGCAGGGAGCAGGAGTGATGATTTTAAATTCTTACCAATGCCTGCTCGTCCACCTCTGAAAGCTATCCACATATGATGGGAAGACCTCCTGGCAGGTGTATAAGACACAAATTTTCTATCGTGGCGGATGCGAATGGATGGGATTCCCAAGCTAAGGCCTGTCATCTCGCCGCTTCTCTAAGAGCCGACGCAGCGGATATCCTTCAGACTCTTCCCGAAAACAAAAGGTTAGATTTCGAAGCTCTGTCCGGCGCCTTGGAGTTGCGCTTTGGGGAGAAGTGTTTAAAAGACTACAGCAGGCTCCAATTAAAATCTCGTCAACAGAAGCCTACCAAAACACTTCAGGAGCTCGCCGCGGATGTTGAAAGGCTGTCCCATCTCGCCTTTTCGGAATGCCCGACAGAAACAAAGGAAATCCTGTCCTTGCAATACATTATCGACGGCATCCGAGATACTGAAATACAGAAAGCTCTACGAATGGCAGATGTAAAGGACATAAAAAGCGCTCTGTTGTACGCCATGAAGTTCGAGGCAGCCCAGCAAGCAACTAGTAGAGATCACTACCCAGTTAGAGCTGTGCGAGTCCATGAGCCAGTGGATCAACTGATGGCTCGTTTAGATGATTTAGCCAGACAAGTCGAAGATTTGATACGGAGTAGGAGCGAGAAAGAAAGTGGCTCTAAGGTGTTGGAGATGTGGTAGTGAAGGTCACCTAAGACGGAATTGCAGAACACCCCAGGGTACGGAATATAAAGCAGATGATTTTACCAGACAAGTCAGTGGCTTGAGACGGAACAGAAGTGAAAAGAAACTAATTCTAAATGCTGGGAACTGCGGAGTTGAAGGCCACATACGAAGAAACTGCAGAACAGCCCGAGGTACGGAAAATAAGACCATTTCCCAGCAACAACGCAGTAAACAAATTAGTGACCATATCGAGGAACGGAGGTTGCCAGATAGTGAAAAAACCTTGTTTTAAAGCTCTTAAAAAAAAAAAAATTTATACAGTGAGTGGCAACAATAACGGACTGTCCATCAATGGGAATATCGATGCAGTTCCTTGCAGTATGATCATTGACACAGGAGCTAATGTTACCATCATTAGGAAAGATTTAGCTGAACACGCCATCCTGTGTTACCCTTCAGACTGCGTCTGGTGACAAGATCGACATAACTGGGAAGTTAAACGTAAACATCACGTTTGGAAGTGCCGCCTACCATCACACGGCATATGTGGCGGATATTACAGATCCATGCATACTCGGATTGGACTTTTTAAGGAAATACAATTTTTCCTTAGACTTCCAAAAACAACAAACTGCTTTCAAGGATCTGAAGACATGACTATCCATCCTCAGAAGGGATCCTCACCTGGAAATGCCGACGCTTTGTCCGAAAGAACCAGTTCGAGAAACACTGCCGAAATCATGCTAGGGTCGAAAAGAAACACCATGACTACCAGCTATTCTCCATCTCAAGATGCTCTTCGGTCGAGACCTTCGTCTGCCTTGTGACCGCCTCTGTTTCATCGCCGTACGGATGCGCCTTCATCGCCTGAGGAAACACATCCAAAAATGTCCAGGCCCTGGTTTTGAGGGGATGCACCGTTCTGCACGAAAGCGAGTCAACTTGGCGACGGAGAAAGTGAAGACCAGATACGACACGCGAGCTACTAGACATAGATCCAACAAAGGAAACAAGGTGTGGTTGTGGAACCCGATTCAACGAAAAGGACTGAGTCCTAAATTACAGTCACCTTCGGATGATCCGTATACAGTGCTGAACAGACTAAATGACTTCGGGTTCGGATTCATAAGTCTTCGAATTCTAAACCTAAAGTCGTTCATTACGACAGGTTAGCTCATTACTATGGCCATAGTACATATGTAAATAATTGTAAATAGTATCAGACCATGGTCCTTTTTGTTTTTAAATATGTATTTGATTTGTTTTGTATTTAGTATTTTAGTATTTGATTTGTTTAAGTTAGTTATTGCATTTATTGTTCACGTTGTTTGATATTGTAATGTAATGTTTATGCCTCAGTTGCATTTATCCCACAGTTGTAAGTTTAGCTTCCTGTCCAGGGATTGTACTGCCCGGGATGTGCAGTCCTTGGGAAGGGGGCAGTGTTACGAATTTAGTATTTAAAAAGCTAATGTTAGTTCAATTATAAATTAAATGGTTTTATTTCTCGCGCAGTGTGCAGCGCGTGACGAATATTAAAAGAAAGCTAAGCCGGAAAATTGAAAATACAAGAGTGCGTGCATTAAATAAATAAATATCTCTTTTTGATTTCGAGAAAGTACTGGAAAATTCTAGCGCGTGATTTTAAAATCTTATAAAAGGAGGAAAACATCTCAGTTTGTAGGAGTTGCTTAGTTTGTTGTTCCTTAGAAAACTGCTCTTGTTGATTGTAGCGAATTCGCGGATTAGCGTTCTTTAGCTGTTTTGAATTATGTTCTATTGGATATTTGAGTAGTTAAAAGATAACTACTGTGAGATATTGTAATTCTGCACGATAATTTGAGAAAATTTAAGCATTTTTGTTGTGATAATAATAAATTTTTGTTCATTTTTCATCGGACTTGTGCATTCATTTCATAACGAACCCGTACGCACGCAACAATATTTTCAATGAAGAGTAGAAACAGGTGAATTTAGTTATAGGAATAGGTGAATTTACATGCTTTACATTATTTACTGTACAAAATGTAACATCAAACATACAGCTTTTTGGATATTTTCTAATTAACCACATCCTCACTGAAAAGCCAGGAAGAAGTACTGATGAAGGGACACATAATGTCGCCAAAGCAAATTCGTGTAGCATATGTCCACAACACACGTGGATTTCAATTTTTGAAATTCAAAAGTCATTTTCCTGGTTAGTATCTTGGGGGAAGTCCACAGTGACTACATCTGTTTCAATCATAATGAATTGTAACAGAGCTTGAAATTTTCCTTATGTTGGAGTGCAGATTAAAGTTTTAAATTGTTCTTGGGTGATCATAATCATGGCCAGTAAGCAGTGCCAAGTTTATGGAAGGGATTTTTTTTAACAAAAACAGATCGCGGTGTGGGAAGAATATTTTTCTCCAAAGTCAGCAAGAAGTATGCGACTTTTGGGTGGGGGCTGGGTATAACCAGAAAGCACTTAGTTCTGTTATTTTATAAAGTGTTTCTTCTTATTATTCAAGAATAATACAATATCTATGAGTCATAAAGATAGCCTAGAAATTTTCTTGCTAATTCACAAAATTTACAGTTAGTTGCAACTTTTTTAGAAGGGGAAATAACAAGTACAGGCAAACATAAGAATTTCCCCTCTGCAAAATTTCACAATAGAGATAATACTTGTATACTCTGGCAAGCAATACTCTAACAATCATTCTATCCCCATAACTTCCTGTGTGATTCTTTACAAGATATTTAACTGTTCCCATCAGGACCCATATGACAAAATCTAGAGCTCTACACCAAGCATCCTTTCACAGAACTTTAGTACTCACTTTCCCTGCTTTCATGAGAGAAAAAAAAAAGTTATGAGACATATAGGATTATTTAGGGGCCTTCTAAAACTTGCAGTCCTTGCCAGGACATCAGGCCTAGGCAGTTCTGTTCCCAGCGACCATTCGTGATACCTTTTATACCACAACAGTTAATAGGTAGTATCTATTTAGTGATCATAATTTATGTACTGAAACTCATCCGAAGAATCCAAGTAGAATCTCAATGGTATATTAGTAAAACTGGCATCACTTTTCAAAGATAACTGAAAATCTGCAGCTGAGATTTCAAACTCAAGTTGTCAATTTATCTTCACTATACATTAGAAGTATTGTGCTGATAAGCTTCAGGTCAGGGTTGTAGTTTTATAAATAACTTGCTAACTTCGTCACTAACTACTGCATGTGGCATACAAAACTTGCCAGAAATCTTGTGGATGAAATAAGTCAATTTGCAAACAGCTGAAATCATGCACTTACTTCGAAAGCAATGAATAGTAGATTGGCTAAGTGCTTAAATTCTTTTTACTGGATCATATGTTATAAAATATATAGGAGATATTACTTACATTATTAGGAGATATTACTTACATTCTAGTGAGTATCTGATCATTGGTAACAATACAAGTTAAATGAAAGATTTATTTTCTTATTAGAAATTAAGAGTTTATCTAATTTTGTATAAAAAAAATTAAATAAAAATTAATAATATACGCAGAGAGAAACAAAAAAAGCTTTACAGTTCGTTAATTTAAAGCATACCTCAGTTAGCCAATCTAGAACAATTGCCCTCATATTTGGTGTTATTTCAGGATGATTCAGGAGAATCTTGGGGTTTTTACGGTAAATTGTGTCTTTAAGAACCATAGATTGCCACAGGTCAGTTTGCTCAGCCCACGAGACTTCTGGTAATGGTGATTTATGTCTACATGTCAATGAAAATGGCTTCATACGGCCAGCAAGTCCCCGAAACTCACTGAATGTAGAAGGAATAAGAGGATAATCTGCATTTTCCTGATCATCAGCTGAGTCTGTCTCTGTATATGGCGATGATTCACAACTGCTCAATATTACAGAGCATTCTGAACGTGCAGGGGATGACATATCAGATTGTGATGAAATCTGAAAATATTTATGAAAGGAGTTAATTAAATTAGTTAAACACAGGATTGACTAAACTTCTAAAATATATATGTAATTTACATATAGATTAATAGATATGTTTTAAAGCAAATATTTTATCTATAACAAAGTGTTGCAACTCAACATTATAATATACAAACATATCTTTTTTAGAATGATTTTGAAAATTATTACAATAAACTATGACATAACACAGAATAACCTTCCCAAGAGGACCCCCCTTGGTTCAAGACATGGGAATATTCATGGAGGGGGAAAAAATAATTCATCGAAAATTTTTATGCAAATCTTTATTAGACAGATAGAAGGAAAAGTTTTCAAATGAAAATTTAATTTTATGACTAATAGCAGCATGTGTTAATTTTATGACTGAGTATCTACTCAGCATACATCTCAAACCGAAACATTCACCTATTTTATATCCCTGATGCCGACCAGGTGAGTCATTATTTATTATATTTTGCTTTCATCACCGCATCTTTATCAATACATGACAGCTTCAATAATAACTCATGCAGTGATGTCTAAACTATTTTATATTAGTAATTGAATAACAAGAGTATGGCAACCTTTTATGCTAACATTACACTTGGCGATGATTATAGATTTTTAAATGTTCTAAAGAAATGTTGACGAGGAAAAATTCAACAAAAACTTCCTTTCATATGCTAAAAATACATTTTGTTAATGAAACTCATAGACCAAAAGATTACATTTAGTGCTATTTTAATTAAGAATAACTGATATGTTATTCACCATAAACCCAGAAACGGCGGCAGAATTTTGGGAAGACGAAAGTTTTGGAATTTGGGGAAGCAGCAAGAGGCAAAATTAAGGGATGAGATGATTTTTTTTTTTTTTTTTATGATTTAGACAAAGCAATGGGATCCAAAGTTTAGGCGAAGTGAAAATTTAGAACTTGGGAACGCGTTTTGTAGCAGAATTTAGGACCCATAGAGACTGCACCAAGCAGTATCGAGCGCTGGCCCTAGAAAAAGCCTTAAGTATATGTTGGAGTTTATTTATTTAGGACTCAGATTAGTTTTAAGCATGTGCAAGAAATAAATGTAGGTATAATAAATAACTAATACAATTCAGTACGCAATAGGAGCAAGGCAAAATTTAGCGAAACAACTTGTCTTTCGTCGCCAAGCTTGTGATTCACAACCAATAATGTATAATGGACGCTATTAAGCTAGGCTAAAATTATCTTTACTGATTCTAAGGCATTTCGGTTAATGTAGCAGACTGCGTTGCTCCCTTATCTTAAAATTTGATCCAGCTTATTATTTTTTTGCAGACTGTTATTATTATGGCAATTTTATAAAAACTAAGCTTGAGTTTTCGATTATGTCGAAAAGAGTTTCCAATTCTGGAGCTGCCAAAGGATCTACAAAGCGAAAGCATGTGTCGATGTCCATCAAAACAAAAAGTTGAATTGCTGCAAAAAATAGATAAAGGCATATCTGTCTCAAAATTATGCGAGGAAGTGTGGCATTGGAAAGTCAACTGTAAGCAAAAAGAAAAAGGAACCTTTTTGAATTTTTTGTGGAAGCAACTTAAACAACTTCCACTGAAAGAAATGTTTGATAAAGTAAACAAATAAATATTAACCTTTTTTTTGGTAAATTTTGATACCCTTTAGATCATAATTGTTCTTTATTTCATAAATTACGATTAGATATTTTTATTGTATAATTTCTGCATGTCATCTTACCAGATTTAAATTGATGATCTAATATATGGAAAAATTCCAAATACGGAATCGCTGAAGTCCCGACGAGTCCGGATTTCGGACTTTGTACTGTATTCACTAAAGAAAACTTGATGTTATTGAATGTGAAGTGGACACATTTTTGCAGATATGCAAAAGGACTCCAGGATTATCTGACCAAGATGGCAAGCTTCTTTACTGAAGCTGCCAATTTTCCTGGTAAAACAGTCTTCTTTTTTTATATCTCTCAGTCTTCTGAGAAATCACCTAATCCCCTCCAATAATCTCTCTGACTTCTGCGTCTGACAATGGAGGCTAAATGCTCCTTTCATTGAGGTTCACAACAGACAGCCATCTCTCTCATCTCCAACGGATCCTCTTATCGAGCTCTTTTATAACAGCCCCTAATTACTTTTTCACTTTCTTCAGAGAAAGTCTTCTCTTAGTTATTTTATATTTTATTAATGAAGAGGTGAAGATAATTGAAAACATACTCCGTCATCAAAACACCTTGGTCCGAGTATCTTGGCTTGTGATCTTTAGCATTTACCAAGTAAAATGTTTTTCAGTTATAAATAAAATAATTTTTGAAACATATCTGTTCTAATAATAATATTTTAATATCTAGTACAGTACAAAGTCTGAGATCCAGATGTCCAATATCCGGAATAATCTAAAATTCAGACTTCAAAGCCACCAACGACATTTTTTTTTGGGAGGGGGGGGAGGGGGTCGAACTATTAAAGCATGCACATTTCATTCCCTCTCTCGACAATAAAACATGTGGAGAGTCCCAATTCTTAATTTCACTTCGGCACTAAATAAAATACCTCCCTATTGAAGAAACAATCATTAGCATAAATTTGTGTGACCAATAATTTGGCTTGCTTAGCATATATCTTAAACCGAAAAATTCTGCATAGAAACATCGTTGATTTTACACCTACTAATATTTTATATTCCTGACACCAACCTGGTGAATCATTATATTTTGCTTTCATCACTGCATATTTATCAACACATGACAACTTGAGTAACGACTCATGTAGTGATGCCTAAACAATTTTTATATATATATATATATATGCAGTCAAAAGTCGTTAATTTGGACTCGTCGGGACTTTGGCGATTCCGGATTATAGATCATCAGTTTAAATCTCGTAAGATTGCATGCAGAAATTCTAAAATTAAAAATATGAAACCGTAATTTATGAAATAAAGAACAATTATGATATCTAAAGGGTATCAAAATTTAACAAAAAAAAAAAAAAAAAAAAAAAAAAAAAAAAAAAAAAAAAACCCTCAATATTTATTTGTTTACTTTATTAAAACATTTCTTTCTATGTAAGCTGTTTAAGTTGCTTCATTTTATGTGATAATACTTTCTCTTTAATTCTATAAACAGACATAATTTCTTGTTCAGTTACAAAGTTCCGCTGTTCAAGTCCCGTAATTGCTGTGCCGAGAATACCGACTAACTTGTCAATTGAAATTTTTTCGTTTTCACTAACCTCTCTGTCACCTTCTTCATGTCTTTATCCATTTTTTGCAGCAATTCCACTTTTTGTCTGATGGACATTGAAACATACTTTCGTTTTGTAGATCATTTGGGAGCTCCAGCATCGGAAATTCTATTTGACATAATCGAAAGTTCAAGTTTACTTTTATAAAATTGCTCTTACAGTCTGCAAAAAATAATAAGCCGCTTCCAGTTCGAAGATTAAGGAACAATGCAATCATCAACATTAACTGAAATAAATAATTAGATAATTTTAGCTTATACCGTCTGTTATACATTAAACGTGCACGCGAAAACGTATTCTGCGCTTGCACACACGCGCAGTCGTAAAGGTCTTACACACATGCGTAAACACCTATGCTCATGTGTCAACACGGCACATGCGCAGAATGTTTTTAGCTTTGAGGTCCGGATTATAGATCATTCCAGATTATGGGTGTCCAAATTAACGACTTTTGACCGTACTAGTAACTGAATAAACAAAGTGCATGGTAACCTTTCACATTGACAGTGCGCTTAGTGATGATTACAGATTTAAGTTAAATTTAAATCTGGCGCCGAAGAATCAGAGCCAGAGCTCATATGGTTGCACCGGAAGTCAGAATTTAGGGAATTTAGAGGAGCACGGAGCAACAAAATTAAGGAATGACAAAATTTTTAGAATTTAGGGGGCATCAAAAATTCACCTCAGTATACCTTAAGTATTTGTGGGAATTTATTTATTCAAGACTCAGATAGGCCTTAAGCATATGCAAGAAATAGACGTTAGTATAATAAATAACTAAACTATTACAATTCAGGCTTAATTGTCTCAATGCGCGATAGAAACAAGACAAAATTTAGCGGAACTTGTCTTTCATTGCCAATCTCATGATACATAGCCAATAATGTATAGTGAACGCTATTAAGCTAGGCTAAAATTACACTTTACCGATTCCAAGGAATTTCAGTTAATATAGCAGATTACGCTGTTTCTTAACTTTCTGATTTGATCTAACTTATTATTTTTTGCAGGCTGTTATTATTACAGCAATTTTATGAAAATTAAAGTTTGAACCTTCGATTACGTTGAAGAGTACAGTCAAAAGTCGTTAATCCGGACTCATCGGGACTTCGGCGATTCCGGATTATAGATCATCAGTTTTAAATCGCATAGGATGGCATGCAGAAATTCTAAAATTAAAAAAATATGAAACCGTTAATTTATGAAATAAAGAACAATTATGATCTAAAGGGTATCAAATTTACAAAAAAAAAAAAAAAAAAAAAAAAAAAAAAAAAAAAAAAAAAAAAAAAAAAAAAGCTTAATATTTTATTTGTTTACTTTATTAAACATTTTTTTTCAATGTAAGTTGTTTTTCATTTATGTGATAATACTTTCTCTTTAAATTCTATAAACAGAAATATTTTTTGTTCATTACAAGTTCCGCTGTTTAAGTCCGTTAATTGCTGTGCCGAGAATACCGACTAACTTGTCAATTCGAAATTTTTTCGTTTTCACTAACCTCTCTGTCACATTCTTCATGTCTTTATCCATTTTTTTTTCCATTTTTTGCAGCAATTCCACTTTTTTTGTTTGATGGGACATTGAAACATACTTTCGTTTTGTACGATCCTTTGGGAGCTCCAGATCAAAATTCTATTTGACATAATCGAAAGTTCAAGTTTACTTTTTTAGTTTGCTCTACAGTCTGCAAAAAAAATAAAAGCCGTATTCCAATTTCGAAAATTAAGGAACCACGCAAA